TCAAGACACTGAATGATTCAAATTTGACTATAGGATACTAAGTATCTGACAAACGAAAAAACAAGGCATTATCTTTAAACAAAGTTGTATGGATGATCCTCAGTCTAAAAATCGAGAAAAAGTGCCATTTCATTCTTTAAGTATTGAAAATGTGGTTTCTGTTTACCTATACTGAAGATACTTACATATTTCTTTAGAGTTTCTTACCGTACCACAATTGTCCTGCACCACTAAGTCAATAAATGAAGTAAAATCTAGCTTCCTTAGAGATCTTTACACAGTGGCATATGTTCGGAGTCACCACCATCACCAATTTCAGGGAATTGGTGGGATGGCAAATTGCAATGCCTGATGCTACTGAGATATTCATTTGCTACTTGAAGAACATGTAAAATCCTCACAGGCAAATCTAGTCACTCACAAAGTAAGGCACACGGAACAATTTTAACGGTGGCACTGCTGGACTCAGGCTGGAACTTCCAAGCAACATGAAGAATTCTCTCCCTAACTTCATTCAGTGCAAGGCAAGACATGCTTTTGTAGAGAGCAACATTACAGGATTAAAATGCAGGTGATACTTTGGCCTACTCAGAAGCCCAGCTAAATCAGTCAGTGGCCCTTCTGGTTCTAAACTATACGGTGAGAGAGGAGGAAGAAGTTAAGGAAAGCATGCAGATTTATTCTGCTACACAGGAGGTATGCGACATGAATGCATTTGGTCAGACAGCTACATACTGTGCTGTCATCACTGAAAATCCTTGGACTCGCATGCCTGTGCTTACCTCATTCTGTCCACATTTCAATCCCAAGGTAAAGATTTTTTTCACTCTTCTCTCACTACGCTCCAAGTCAGAGATGTGAAGAAGACTTAGTGGTTTTGTCATTTTCCCTAAAGTACACGCTTAGTAAGCCAAGAACAATGCTGTCAGACACCAACAGGTAATGATAAACTAATCATTTCTTCCTTGGGATCATTAACTGCACAGATGCCTTGGGGCAAGTTTTCAGTTCATGTTTTAACGCAGCTATTTTAATGGCAGTTGCCACGTGTCAAGCAATGATGTAAAATGCACCCAGCTTCAGGATGCTAATAGCATTCAGTGCTCCAAAGGAGCCAAGAACATGTTATAGTCACAGCAAGTCTGTGATGGGGAAGTAATTATTATTAATAACAAATTATAATGTATGAAATTTAGCAGGACTTTAATTTCTTTTCTTTTTCTGAGCAAAACCACCAGATACCCTTTCCAGGGTGTACCAGCTTGCCCTCCTTCTCATGTTATTAACAGGCCAAAAGTCTTCTAAAACTTTAATCACAGCCCATGTTTTGTAACTCTCCACTGAAGTGGACTTGATGCCTGAACAACAGAGCGCATAAAAATTCAACTGCTGTATGGTTAGAATACCTTTGACAACCCAAGGGAGCAAATGCTATAAGCAAATAAAAATACACCTGCTGCTTAATGAACATGTAAGCTCAAAGATGTGTTAATATTTAGAAAAGATACTCTTTTATTACTGATTTATTAGTACAGTTGTTAATACTCCCCATCACCATACCCAGCAGAAAAAAAACATGTGAAAATGCTGTTCTCAACTCAAAGTATGGAGTATAAGGCTTTTTGCACTCAAAACACTTTCTACAACAGAATAACTGTCTGAACATGAAAAACACTGGACTGAATTCTCTCTTTCTTGGACATACCTAAAAAAGAAAGAAAATCCTCCTATCCATCCTTCAAAGCCTTCATTCTTACCAGCAAGCTGAGCCAGCAATAAAAAAGTAAAATATAAAAAAAAAAAAAAAAACCCAACAAACCAAAACCACAACAAAATATAGATTAAGTAAACCAGAAATATACCCCAGCTCTGCTAACTTTATAACTGAACTACCATCCCCAGCTTAAAGATGTTTAGTGAGCATGAGAACTTATTACAGTAACTACTGACCTTCAGAGTCACATCTGGAACATCCAGAACAACAATCTGAGCTTGATAATCCTGCGTTAATACAGGCAACTCAGCAAGATACAGGGAAAACAAGAATATTTTGTGACTGCCCTGATCTTCATACTTCTGTCAGAAATAGCTTTTTATTCTTGAGACATGCAGACTAATATTACGCAAGGGATGCATTATAAAAATAACAATATTCATACACAATCCAGATGCTCCTCTTTCCCATGAATGTACTACTAGAGCATTTAATGTTCATCAAGCTCATACTTGTCAAAGTCACAACCCAAAAGCAAGAAGACAAGCTTTGAACAATGGGAGAAGAATGTGTCTTCAGCCTACACACTCATTACCTTCGTTTTATAATTCAGTGAAAACATGACTTCTTTTCCCCTGTGAGTTTGATCCTGTTTCTGCCAGGTATTAATTCTAGCTTTTCTTCTGCACCACTGGCAACAAATGAGAGTGTGCTTCCTTACAATGGTGAAACTGCACTTTTGGAGCAGAATATAAATAAAATAAATGCAAGAAGAACCCTTGCCTTGCTACCTGCAATGCCCTACATTCTACCCTCATTAATAACAAGCAGCCAGCACCTGGGATTTGGAAGAGCAGAGCAGGCATACTTGAGCAACCACATGGTGGTTGTGGCTACTCCCAGGCCAGCCCTCCTCAAGCACTGTTTTTCCAGTTCTCCAGAAAAAAACATTTTGGAACATCCTGTGTGAGACGGCAGTTAAAATGAAGCAGCACCAAAGCAGTACTCATACAGCTGTCAGATGCTATATATGTTGGAGAAATGAAGAGCAATTCCTGAAGCCACCCCTAAAGTGAGATTTATAGGTCATGCAGGGTGTTTTAATACTTCCTTGATTTCATATAAAACAGTATTAACCTGCAGAAAAGTGACAGCCTCTGCTTACTCAATTTAAGCCACTTAAGACAACATTTCAGCTGAAACTTTCACTAAGAAAATACTAATGCTTTCCAGCTAGTAAACGTCAAGGATATACAGGTATTTTTCATTATGACTTGCAACACAGGTAAAAGAGATTTTAAAAGGGTTTTTCCACTCTCGTGAATTATACAGCTGTGAAAGCCTGAAACCAGTACACAGAGCATTTTAAAGCTTTTCATATCGCGCTAAACCCTGTTTCAAAGCACAAGCCTTAAAGTTATAGACTACCATTTGACTGCAAAGCATGAAGTCACAGTTAATCTCTGGACTTCAGCAGGCCTGTCATCCTGCAAGCACAGACTTCCACCTACCCTCCCCTTTGCAGTGAGAACCTACAAACATGTCTGGAGTAAAAGGAACCTTTCAGGTGTCCACCTAAAAAGTGGTAAATTTAAGGTACTTTGTTGTTGCTGTTGAACACTTCACTGTGATACATTCAGACTGATAGAGAAGGACTAAAAAAGGACGATATGATCTGTCCAAAACCTAGCTATGAGTACCACACACTTACATTTTCACTTCCAGCTGGGCTGTTTCTGGCAAAACTACCAGTACCACCGCAAGATTCCAGCAAAGGAAAGGGTACTGAACAGAAGGAGCTCTGGAACGCTACATGGCCAGCTGAGGTTCATCCCTTCCCATTCTGCCCGGGATTCCTAGCAAAGCTATTTCCAACACTGTCACCCCACTATCAAAAAAGAAACTGTAAGTCAGAATACTGAAAACAGAGTTCTGCACAAACATACAACCTCCTTTTCTTCCCCTTTCTTTCTGCACAGAGTACCTCTAAGGACATCTTCACAACTGAAAATGTATTTAGCTAAAATTTCTCAGGGCTTTTAAAATCTCCCTACCTTTCAAAAGGGATTTCTGCACCTGCTCTGAGTTACTTACAGGATCAAAGTGTTTTTCACTTCTGTTTCAGAGGCTTCCAAAAAAAGAGCCCCACCTGCCATGCACCTCTTCCTTCTCCCTCCTCCACCACAGAACACAGCATGACCCTGACTCAGGCTGAAGTAGGTGATGCAGAATCAACACTACCTCTGTAACTGGTCTCTTCCAAAGAGGATCTGGTAAAATAGACAAGCTTGAAGTTCTCCTATTTCACTTTGCACCTCTTTTCCAGTTATATTTCTAAGCAACTACACTGTTGAGCTGTTAATTCCTCACTGCTCTGAGTTATTATACATACCCATGCCAAGGCCTCCACTAGTAAGAGCACAAGCACTAACTTTGGACCATCAGTCATTTGGTCCCACGGAAGTTCGTGGACCACTTCTGCAGACCCTGCCTTCACTCTGCTATGCCCCAAGCCTACCCAGAGCCAAGGCAGCAGACTGACTGCAGCTGAATCGGGGATGGGAGCAGTCAGGCTGCTGCCCCGCCATTCCTTACATCGGGAAACTCCCACGCCGCTATTCAGCTCAGAAACCACCTCGTTCAAACGGGGGAAAGCCCCACACCGAAATCAAGATTAGCAAACCCTGCCGAGATGAGCAATACCTGGTCGCGATCGGTTATGAAAGCAGGGAAGAGGAGCAGGGCCAGGGAGCAGCCCTGCACCCCCTACCCGGCCGGGAGGACACGGGCAAGGAAGCGGGGAGCGGCGGAGGACGCTCCCACAGCTCCCCAGGGAATCGAACACGTGCTCCAGCGGGGCGACGGGGCCGCCCGAGGCGGGCAGGCCGAGGGCTGCGCTGTCCCCGCACCGCCGCCGGGGATTACCGCCCGCCGCGGGCTGCCGGCTTCGCCTCAGGAGACTTCGCCGCACTCCAGAAGCCACCTGCGTGCGAGCGGGTGCCCGGCCGGCACGGCTGACACGCCGGCGCCGAGCCGCGACTGCACAGTCACTACCGGCGGCCGGCACTACCAGCGCCGACAGACACCTCCCATCCCCCCCGCCCGCCGCCGCGGCGCACGGACCCTCCCGCGCTGCCCTCACCCTGAGCTCAGCACATACACCCCGTCCCCACGGGCTGGGCCCCGCAGCCCACCGACCAGGTGAGGTAAAGTGAGGCGAGGCGAGCGGCGCTAAGCCTCGGCACGGCGCCGCCGCCTTCTCCCTTGCCTTAGACCGGGCGCTCACCAGAAGAAGAGCCGCGAGCAGAGGTTGGCATCCCGCAGCGGGTTGAGCTTCTCCTCGCGGGACACCGCTTCCATTCCGCCAGCCGCGCCAACCCGCCCCGGCGAGGGCGCAGGACCAGCAAGCGACTTCCCACCGCGGCAGCCGCCGCCGCTGTGCCGCCGGCCGGCGCTGTTTCCGGGAGCGCTGGCACCCCCGCCTCGTCCCTCCCTCCCTCCCTGCTGCCGCAGGACGCCTCCTGCCGGCCCGACTCGCCCGCGGCTCCCGCCACAGCGCAGAGCTGAGGCGCCGGGCAGCCCCGGAGGCCGCGCCGGGAGGGAAGCGCCCTCAGGCTGGCTGCGTCTCCACTGGCGGGGGAAGAGGGCCGCACCGGCGCCGGGCGGCGGTGGGTCACCTCAGCGTGGGGCCGGCCTTGTGCTGGGGTTACTCTGCTCTTCCGTCCCTGGTTTCTCGCCTCTATGTGTGTCCTTTCCAGATGGAATGCATCTCCTCGAAGAGCACGGTGCCAAGCACCTTTTGGGGTAGAAAAACACACTGAGGGTCAAGAGTGAGTCCACTTAATAGGACCAAATATCACCAGCAATGCTTGCTGTCACCTCTCCTTCCCAGATGTTGCAGATGGTTCTATTGCCCCATCCCTGGCAGTGTTCAAGGCCAGGTTGGATGGGGCTTTGAGCACCCTGGTCTAGTGAAAGGTGTCCCTGTCCATGGCAGAGGTTGAAACTGGATGATCTTTAAGGTCCCTTCCAACCCAAACCATTCTGTGATTCTATGATTCTGTAAAAAAATAAAAAATAAAAACAAAAAGACTCCTCATCGTTTAACAACATTTAGGATAGTTTGATGGTACAAAGGAAAGAGTAGCTAGTAGTAGTAATTAAATATTCCAGGAGGTGGTACCTTGCAGAAATCCTTGAAGCCATTCTCAAAAGTTCAGCAAGTGACCACCAGACTCCTCTCCAGTACTACCACTGTGCTTGCCACAGGGAGTACAATTGAAGAGAGTAGAGGAAACTGCAAGTGACATGCGGGACATGTATCTTTAACAAACAACTGCTGATCTGCATGACAGTGTAATTGGCAATATGGGTCCCTGACATACTGGCTATTTTTCTGTGGTCTCAGAGTCACAGGATGGCTGCGGTTGGAAGGGACCTCTGAGGTCATCTGGTCCAACCCTGCTGCTTGAGCAGGATAGCCTAAAGGCAGCTGTCAGGACCATGCCCAGATAGATTTTGAAGATCTCCAAGGTCTCCATAACTTGTCTGGGCAGCATGTGCCAGTGCTTGACCACCCTCACAATGTTCAGAAGGAATCTCCTGTATTTCAGGTTGAACCTAGTGTTGACCCCTGATATACACAGCTATATCCTCCAACCAGACTTCGTACAACTAATCACAACCCTGAACTCCTGAGCTCCTTCCCAGCCCAGCTAAGCCAGCCCCAAGACAAGTGCCACCCTTATGTTCTGTGTATTCATCTCATGCCCCCATCAGCAACCAGCCCTGTCTCTTCCCACTAAAATGCATTGCCAGTGAAACAGTTTACAGGGGTGGCGTCTGACCTCAGAGGCATTGGAATTGACATGTTGTTGAGATAAAAAAGGGGTAGAGTCTGGGCCACACTGTATTATTGAAGGAACAGCAGCAGTTCACGCTTGCAAGGATGTTATGATAGCCATAAGTCAGACAAATCAAGCTTAAGCTTGCTGTCAGTGAACACTGATGAGGTTGGGAGCAGCATGCGCTGCTTGAGCATAGACAACATGCCACAGGATTTTGCAAGCACTAAGTAGTACACCTGTCAACAACTGCCTGTGATCCTTCCAGATTAAAACAAGGAAATAAACTTACAGAAATGGTGCAGTGGTTTGAAAGGACATGTATTCCAGAACCTGAATAATTAATTTAAATCATCTCCCAAAACATACAAAAAAAAAAGCCCTGCCCATCAGCAAAATCTGTCCGGTTTAGATTTCTGTGAAGCAAATTTGTCTAACTTGGTACCGATAGGAGACTTAAAAGGTATGACAGCCCAGTGCAAGTCCCAAACCACCAATAAACTTTGGGTCAAGCAGTAAGAGAAAGGAAAATGTAAATCTAAAACTGACTTCATGAAACATTACCTTTGTGAAGTAGATATGCAATGAAAGATTATTCAAACATTTCTTAGTTTGGGCAAGGAAATAGAATACTGCTCATGAACATGTAATTTATTTTTAAAATGCAGTTAAAAGTATTAAAGCAAAATATTAAAGTAATTTTTCTGCAGCATGATTGTAATGTTAGGAAAAGGACAAAGATCAAACCTTAAGAAGTACATTTTTCCTTTGCCAGACTTATCAGCAGCAAATGTTGGCACTACTGGGTTTTAAAATAGGTAGTAGTGTTTACTTATAAGTCCAAAACAAAACACCCTGCAAATTCTTGGAGAAGGAAAAATTAAAAAGGAAGGGGAAAATAAAATTCAACAAACCCCATAATACCCCGAAAGCTAAATGAATCTGTAACTCTGCCTGTCAAGTGTGCAAATAACCATTAGAAACCAATGCAGTAATAAAGAAGTGTGAAGCAATTAGCAACTAAGATGCTCAAGAAAATCTGAGACTGTGTATGGATGGGAAGGGGAAGGGAAAATAACAGAGTAATGAAATTAATAATATTCTTTCTGGTTTAGAGAGAGAGAGAAAAGCAAGATATAAACAAACTAATCAAAGTGTGGGTTAGTAAATCTGCAATACGGGTAACAGTCTAGCAAAGCCAACTACTCAAATAGGATAATGGACAAATTAAGGCAGTGGCATCTGAATTAAACCTGTTATGCATATACATTGTGCTAAGGAAATCAATTCTACAATCACAGAGGGTGTCACAACATGAAAACACACAAGATTCCCTGTTTATTCACTGCACAAGAAAGACCATAGTCACTCAATAGGCATCTGTATGATGTGTGGCTTGAAGCCCTTCCTCTACTCTCTTCTCATTTTAAATGCAGTCAGACTGACTAGTTTCTTCATGTGCATTTTCTGTGGCACTTATCACTAAAGTACCAGGAGTTCACAAACTGCTGTTCTGAGAACCCTGAGAAGATAATTGGGCAGTTTCAACCGAATCCCAGATGGTGAATGAAAAAGAGTGTGGACCTTAAGGTGAAATATAGCCACTGATCCCTGTTATACAATAGGAACTTCACTAGGATTATGTAATAGGAAATTCCTATTATGCAATAGGAAAGCTTACTCTTGTGGAGGATGTAGCACTATAACCTTTCCCTTTCAGGCAAGCAGCCATTGATTTCAGGGCTGAACAATTTCACCACGTCATACCGCAGGGCCTTGAGAGACACCTAGAGAACCAAGACATGCGCATGAGTGTGTCTGAAAAGAATGCATTAAAGATTTGCTGAGCACTACATGATGTCTCTGAGGCAGTATTAGGGACAGAGTCAGATTCAAAGATGTTTGAAAGACATCAGAGGGAGTAGTTTCCCAGAGACAAGCTATGATAGCAGAATGTGAAGGCTTTACAACAATACATTGTTTGAGTTTAATGTTTTTTTGATTGAAGCCAGGCAGAAAGGCAGACTGTATGCCTGCCTGAGAAAGCAAACAGGCAGCCTTATTTGCTGCCATGCCACAGGCAAGAACGCAGGCTGTCCCACTGGCTGTGAGCCCAGCTTGTCACTATCCGGTGGCCTGTTTCATCATCTCACTGACATATCCACGAGAGTCACTTCTCATCCTTCTGCAACACAGACATAGCAGCCTGTTGTTGTTAAGCTGCAGAACACAAATGTCAGTGCTGCAGAACCAAGCTGTAAGTAGTTTTGCTATTTCAATCTGGTGATCAGAGTGAGATACCAATAGTCTTCCTCAGCTTCTCTTCCCATTTCTTCTTGCTACCCCACTAGCCATCTCTATTTTCCTCATACCTTTTACTACATCTCCATGTTAATTTTATACATGCCACAGTTTCTTATTTATACTAATTGACTTACTCATTCTCTTTAAATTAAGGTGCAGTTCAGGTGTTTAAGCAGAGGTGCCTTCTTCCATCTTAGACATGGTGGGGTATTCCACTCTGGCACAAGTTACCACTCCGGGTTTCAGGTCTTCCCTTAACTGTGTTACATCTGCTCATCCCATGCTCATGTGTCTGATGCCTTATAATTGACAGTGGGTGCCTATGTTTAAACTACTGAATCTCACCCTTACCATCTTCACTTCTGAATCAGTCTGGGGTTTAAGCCAGAGTCCTCTCCATCTTTGACTACCACAATAAGGTTATTTTGGCCTATATGATTCTCCCTAAAGAACTTTTAATTTCCATTCACATTTGTCTTTCTAATTGTCACACACACACACACACACATACACACACACTATATATTTCTGATAACTTTCATACTTTAGTTCTTTTGATGTTTGGATGTCCACTTACTTGCTTTACACAAAGCTATGTTAAAATCATTTATCCATAGCAAATAGTTTGTATTGATTATCTGCTAAGATTCAAAACCAGTTACTTTCTATTAAATATTTGATGCAGTAGAAAAGTATCAGAAAATGTTGTAATAAAGTTAAAATTTACATGCCTACCCCCTAACAATTTTGTCTCCATACTTCTTGCACAGATAGAGACTGATATTTTTGTCCAATAATCTGGATGAGCTTGCAGCAGGCCTTCAGCAGCAGCTCCCTGTGCTATTAGTTAAAACACCAAATAACATGTTTTTACAATATTGCTGTCCTGAGCCACATAGCCCTCCCTCCTATATTCCTAAGAAGCTAAGAGTTTATTTCACTGTTCTAGTCTCACGAGGTAATAGACATTAAACTTCCTGCTTCTATTCATTACTGTTTTAAGTGTTCATTTTTTTAACCCACATCTCTAATATTGATAATACAGCTTCTGAAGAGCAAAGTCTTTCTTTACATTCTCTTTCAAACAGTATGTTGCAGAAAATCTTGCCCTTCATTTGCCTTTTTCCTATCCTGATCTCTTGCTTTTTTAGCTTAATACTAGCCCACACAGCCCAGGATAATCTCCAAGCAACAGTGAATTACAGAAACAGAAAAATTAAATTGAACTAGTTTCAGGGCAAGGGTGAGTCAGCAAACAGAAAACAAACTTGTGTAAGTATTGTGCAGACTGACTGATGGCCTAGGGAAATGAAGACTTCTCATCCCTGACATTTAAAAAATAGATTAGATTGTTTCTGCTAGGAACAGGGAGTTGGACTCAATGATCCTTCTGGGTCCTTTCCAATTTGAGATATTCTAAGATTCTGTGTTTCTATAATCTCTGTCATGATGTTTGCTCAACATAGGCAACCTAAATCCAAGGGTAGAAAGTGGATTAGCTGACCTCCTGACATCTGTGTTTTCTGTGAATGCCAGTGCCCATGGACTCATTTGACTAGGCAAGATTGCCAGGGTTTTGTCACAACTTCCACACAACAAAGGGGAAATTATTTTTTAAAATGTCTTCTCAGAGCCTGGAGGTGAATGGTTGATTTCCACTTCCATTCATGTAGGTCTGATTGCAGTGATACTGTGCCCTTGAGGTACAGATTGCAGGATCAAAAGATCCTTTTAATCCGAGTATGAATTTTGTCTTAATTTTCTACAGCAACATTTAGGACATACAACACTGAAAAATGCAGAATTCAAGTGGCTTTGGTTAGAAACCTCTGTTTTCAAAAGTGACAAGGAACAGACAAACAACATTCTTCCGATTGAGTTAGTAAAACCTGTGCTTCTTTCAAAGCTTTTCTTGATTACAGCATTCTCTTGCATTTTCCACATTCATTTACACAACATGGTTTCTGTTGCATGATCTGTTTAGTTTAGTGTCAACCTGAATAGGCAAGAGGGAGAGAAGAGACATCAAAGTGGAACCATGGAAGGTTTCCCTTGCCTGAGGAGTAAAGAAGAAAGGAAAAAGCAGATCATGAGCACTCAGGCATTTACAGGTTACACAGCAAAACAGTCAGCAGGTCCACCATTATGTCCCAGATGTTTCTGGTTGTTCTGAAAGCCACTCTGCTTCTCTGCTAAAGTCAGAAAAATAGACAACGTACGAATGCTCAAACAAAACTGCCTTTCTTCCCAGAAGAATTCCTTTCCCTCTAGTAGTAATGCAAATAAGCAATAAGGTTGAGAAGAAAAGTCATGTAAGTCACTTTTCATAACCAAACGTCACTGTCAAGATCATCTGGATCCTCATCGTATTTCATTTGGCATTCCCAGACTTATGTTTAAGACAGTTATTTTTTGCAGCAGCCAGGGAACAGACGACAACACAGACAAATTCATAGGTTACTACATAGATCTGAGTTTTTTTTCCTTCTGTAACATAAAGCCACAGAAATGCTTGCTTAAATTGAGTGGCACAGTGTGGCTTTTGCCCTCCTGGGGTTACCAACTATGATGGGAGGTCGGACATAATTAAAACAAATTATTCTGTTATAAGACAGTACTTCCAACCTCAAAATAGTAATTGCAGATGGTGACTTCAGATCTATAGATGTATGCACTTTCAGATCTATACACTAGAGATCTTCAAATTTCTTCCAGTAACAATGACCCTAAAAAATATATTTGGTTTGTTTTTTTTTCACTTTTCTCTGAGATGCCTGGATAGTATTTGCTGCCAGCAATGGCCTAAGCAAAAGCCTAATGCCATCCAGCATCCTGGATGAAGATGGAAAATAGCTAGAGTACTGCCAGGTGCAGTAATATTTAGAGGTCCCAAAATTAAGCACTCACATAAATTTTAATAGCGAAAGAAACACACTCACACTGCACTCTGAAAACTTGATTTCTACCTTCAATAAGAACCTCACAATGCAAAGTCAAATACCACTGGGTGTGCATATACTGTTAGCTTTCAATAACAGAAGGCACAGACAGAGACCAGGCATTCTAGTAAGACACTGCATGCAGGAAGATAATAATAATTAAAAATAATAAAAAAATCATAATTATTCTTCATGTTTATGCCGAGAAAGAAGAGGATGCTTTACCCAGTTTTCAATACTTTAGTGGAAAGCTAGAGACCCATGAAAATGGGAAATGCAGTTCTGTTCTAAAAGAAATAAGCTAAGACCAGCAGAGCCATCTTCAAAGTATGTCACATATTTTGTGACCTGGATATGAGGCACTTACTATGAAGTATGGACAGTCAAATCAGAACACAAACAATGTCAAATGACTGCAAACATAGTTGCTCTCAGCCTTGGCTAGTGCAGTCTGTCAACACTATTACCGCTAGGTCTTCCTTAGTTCTCAGCTGCCTCACCAGGGTCTAGCATGTGTAGGTCCACAGCCTGACTTTTTGTCTGGGTCACACAGAATTCCAACTTTTCTGGGGCATCAGAAAAAGAAGAAAGAGAACTTTCTCTGACACTACTGGACACAGCTCTCAGCAGACCACCAGTTACCTGCCAATGCAGAGCTCCCAAAAGGCAATTTTTGGAGTGCACATATCCTTGGCCTGCAGGATATCGTCATATCCTCCTCACCTAACCACACACCACTTGCAAGGCTCTTCTCAATTCTTTTTTGGCTGCCTAATGTGTCTGGAGTATTTCAAGCAAGGGTGGACTACATAAGAAGAATACAGAAAGATTTTTCTGAATCACATGCATTTTGTGAGCCAGAGTTTTATAATGTTTGTAATATAATTACTGTATTATATTTGTGCTAATTTCTTTATTTGGTTTACATTAAAATGGTAAATTTAAGCAAAACTAAGTACCACAGATTGCTTAGTCTGGAGAAAAGGAGGATCAGGGGAGACCTTCTTGCTCTCTGCAACTACCTGAACGGAGGTTGTACCGAGGTCAGTGTCAATCTCTTTTTCCCTAGGTAGCAAGTGACAGGACAAGAGGGAATGGCCTCAAGTTGTGTCAGGGGAGGTTTAGGTTGGATATTAGGAAAAATGTCTTTCCTGAAAGGGTTGCCAAGCACTGGAACAGGCTGCCCAGGGAAGTTGTGGAGTCACTATACCTGGAGGGATTTAAAAGATGTTTGGATGTGGCATCTGGGACATGGTTTCTTGTTGGACAGGCAGTGTTGGGTTAACAGTTGGACCTGATGATTTTAAGGGTCTTTTCCAACCTAATTCCAACCTAATTTACAACCTATGATTCAAATGCCTATAAATATTGCCTCACAGGCACCAAGGATATTTACATACCCACTGTTTTTCTGTGTGTATATTCTTACAACATCTTAATCACTGTTGAATCTGGGTATCTTCTAGCAATATCTTAAGTACCATGACTAATACGTCAAGTGTTGTTTATTCTTGCTCTCAATCTGTTTTGATTTAGTGCAACTTCAAGCTAATATGCCCACAGCTGTGTTTAGGTTTAGAAAAAAAAGCCTGAAGCATTACATATTGTGGTTAGCGCAAAAGGCAGTGAGGTCTTCCTTAGTGTTCCCTTGCTGTGACTGTTTCTTAGCCTCAGACAAACTAAGGTGGAAAACTTTGTCTTCTACATAGGAAAGCTTGCTCTTACAGAGGGACATTCTGTTTCCTCTGTGGTGGAAAGATGTTTGCATGAGTCATTTAGGCATTTATTTAGATCTCTGAGAGCAAGCAACAGTGCCCTTGGAAGGCAAGCACTGGGAACTTGAATCTAGCTATAGTTTATGGAAGGCAAAGCAGAGAACAGACCACAGATACGTGTTTACAGTACTCTCTGTTACCTTGGGGATGTGCACCTTGTATTCTGTACTTCATGGTACTTCCTGTGGGCCGAGGACTTCATGCCCGAGAGTGGGTGTAGCCTAGAGAGAACAGGCAGGTGGGTAAATGTAAAAAAGAGAGGGGAATGTCATGGTCTCAGATGCATCACACCAAACTAACTCACAGTGTCCTATTCTGTGAGAGATAAGAGGTACTTGTGTTTGCTAATGTGCAAAAGGTTAGTGTTGGTGAGAGATCTGGGAGCACTCCCATGCTATGACTTGAACTGGCCATATGTAAACTTACACATATGCACCTTTTCCTTTTGCTTTTAAATTGCAAAGCATTCCTGGGAATCCTGTGGCCATATTTGCATTCATTAAATTTTAATCTTTTTCTTTATCAGTGTCTTCATCCTTACCAGACAATTCTTACTTCTCTGATAAAATCCTCTGCCTGCATCTTCATTCTGACGGCCTTTCAACCTTTATACCCTAGATCAGAAAGACATAAAAAGGCTGTGGATGTTTTCAGAAGAGGCACAGCACAAGCAGAAATAACCATGAAGTTAGAAATGTCAGCATAAGAACAACAGTTGTGGTAGTAAGGACTGGTAGATGAACCACAGAGAATAAGAACAGAAGAAAGGCTGTATGTAAGAAGGGGGCAAGTATTCTCCAAGGCTTGCAGAGGATGTGAATCCAAACTGGTGCCAGAGGGAGAAGCAAGGAAAATGAGGTAGAAGGGTAGAAGACCAAGCACGATAAAAGAGGTGAGGTTAACCATGGAAGGGGGACGGGGAAGGAGGATGGTTGTGTCAGATACTAAAATGACCAGCAGATGGTGAAGTGTCAAATAGATGCCACCAATATGCATCAGGTCCTGACAACAACTGAAATTCAAGACCAGTTTGACAGAGAGTAAACTCTTACAAATTCCCTTGGTTGTGACCAGGCAGTAATAGGTAGGGTAGATTTGTGTGTGTATTTATAGGCTCATATCTCTGTGCATGGGATGGCTTTAGGCTATATCGCTATAATTCTGTTTCTGTAACTAAATGCATTTTATACCCTTCAAAATACACTCCACAGCAGGCAAATGCTACACTATCGTCCCTCCTGACACAGAAAGTCAGTGCTACCATGTGTGCTCCTTTCTTCTCCAGGTCATCTTCAAAGGAGATGACCAGCCATCAGAGGATTGCACAAAAGCACTACCTCTCTCTCTGGCAGTAACTAAAAGGAAACACCAAAGCTTCCTACCTCCTAAGTGCAGGCAACACTTAACAGGAGCCTGTGACTGAATTAGTTTTCCATAAACCTGCCATGCTTCTAGCAATGTAGATGAGCTCTTTTGAATCCCCCCTCCACCATGACACTTATGCTGATGTCTCTTCCTTCCTGTCCCTCTCAACAGAGGAAAATGGAGATTAAAAAACCTTAGTGAACAGTCATTTTCCTAAGAAGTAATCTTTATAATGCAGAGTTTACAAGAGGATTGGACAAATCACTGTCTTCATAGTTTAATGCTGAGCTCCTCTGGTCATTGACTATCCTTTTCATTCTTTAATTGTCTAGTACTGGCATAGTGCTTCTTCTTCAGGAGCAGCATTCCCAGAAGCTACATTATCACAGGAAAAGAATAAGAATAATCTTGCCAGCTTTTGTTCTACACATTAAATAATGACCTTTTGAATGAGTCATTTAACCTGCAAAAATTTAAAAAAATATTTTCCTTTAGTAATTTTGTAAGAATTATATTCCCTTATAGGAAGGTCATTCTTTGAAGGGAGAAAGCCCACCCAGAATAAGAGAAGTGTGGCATTATTAATTTCTGCATTGAAACATTTGTAAGTAGGTGAACTGGGTTAGTGCTCTCCACTTCCTCCTGCAGAGTTTCTGTTCAGCAGGAGTGACTCAGTACACCCAGATGTTTTGTTGGACATATCTAAACATAAATTAGAGTGTGAGCACTCAAACAGGTAAATAGGAGTAAATAGGACTTTTGGAAATGAAAACAAAACTAGCATCCTACTGGGCTCCCAGTGAGCTCCAGAGCCTTTTCCCATTCTTTGTACAACCCTTCAGGTAAGTCTAAATATGAAATACATCACTAAGCATCTCTGCAACTCTTACTTATTCAGGAGGATTTAAGCTGCTGGGAGTCCAGATCGCATATAAAGTGACACATGTTGTCACTTTTATGTGAACGAGGTGACATTTCACATAATGTAGTTTTCTGTAAAGGTGTGGCATCATTACAAAAGAAACATGGAAACAGTTCTCGTTGTGGTGATATGACAGCCTAATTCCATAAATGCCTGTATAAGCCTGCATTTCAGTTTCTGCTCATGCTGCCTTACAATAGCCAGTACATAAGTTTAGAATTTTACTTCAAGCTGAGAACTATTACAGGTCATAAAGCAAAATGCTTAGGCTAGGCACATCCTTATCTCCCCAATGGGACATGATACTAAAATCATTTGCAAAGCATGTTCAGGGTGGACCTAATTTGTACTGGTGACAAGGGACCAATACAGAAGGCAGAAAGGTACATATTCTTTAGCAGATTGCAATTTAAAAGACGCCACACACTTAAATTTGGTGTCAGCTGAACAAGTAGACAAGAAAGCAGAGAGATACCTATGCTACATTCCTACCTATTCCTACATTCCTTCCAAAGGGGAAGTCTGTAGTAGCAGGGGCTCCCAAGTTTGTGGCTTGACCAGTGAACTATCACAGCTCCCAGCACTTGTACAGGGAAATTTTAGCTGCCATGGCAACCATTTTTTCCTGGTTGACTGCACTGGATAAATATTCGATTAAACCCTTTTATATTTATGCCTTTAATCTAATAGGTTTCTTTAGTGAAACAGTTAATTTAAAGGTTTTGCTACCTAATCATGCAGCAAGAAGCACAGTTCGGCTCTTGCTTGGATGAATGGTGGCATGATTAAATGATAATAAATGACAGAAGACAGAGAGTGAAAGCAGTAAAGGAAGTGGAAAAATGATGCTCTTTTGGTGGTTAGATGCATGGATGAACCTATGTGAATGATACTTTTTTAATTCTTATTTGGTGGCAATTTCACAGAAAAGGTTAATTTCAGGTTGAAGAAAGCTTTTTATTCAGCCTGTGAATCTGAGTACTTTGCATTTTTGATCTTAAAAGAAATTCCAGACTGAACAAGTGATTTCAAATAGAATTATTAAAACATTTTATTTAACATAAAAAATATTTTTCTTTGCTTTTGCAATCTCAATTTGGATTTTTATTGACACAGTTCCATAAATCCGTAACAAATTGTCTTGCCAGAATTACTTGTCTTCCATAAAAGACCACTGAACATTTTGCAACATATTTCAAGAAAACTATGATCTGAGGAATGTTCAGAAAAAAAATTTATTTTTATTATTATTATGTTTTATTTTTCTCTTTGGCATATCTTGATCCCTGCATATCCCCTTCCCTGTGTTTCCTTTCATACTGACTCAACAATACAGATAAAAATTTGCTAGACCCCAAACTTTTAATTTATTAAGCTTGAAGCAATCTCTCGCTGCATTTCATTTCTCTGGGCCCACATTTAAATTTATCACTATTTGGCTTTTTATCAACATCCCTTTTCCATGACTAGCAAGCATCATTTCTTGGCTCCTCTAGGGCTACAGGTTCATGTTTTCTTTTAAAACTGACTCCAAACTAGCATTTCTGAATCTTGTGGTACATGCGGCATGTGGGGTTTTCCTGAAATAAAATTGGATGGCGCATGGCAGATATCCCTGACTTTTCCTGCTGGTGCTATAACTCAGCAGTCCTGCCCCTCAGCTCCAGGGCCCACTAGCTCTTGCCCAGCTCATGCCTCTTCTCACATGAAACCACCTGAGAATTGCTGCCCTAAGTAGGCTTTTCAAATCAAGGATGTTATATTTATTACTGGATTTTGGCAGTATCTGTTTCAAAGATTTCTACATCTGCTCCTATAAAAGGGCATTTTTATCTTCTAGAATCAGTGCATTTATAGGCTGAGGATGCAAGTAACTCAAGACTTAACTGATGCAATATATAATGTAATTCAACCCTCCTGATTTTATTTATGTTTCTTATTTGTTGCTGGGGTATAAAATTTGATATTTTACAAAGGGTACTCAGAATAGAATTTTTCTAATGAATGTGGTAGTGACAAGATTTTTTTCATATTTTTTAATATTTGCTTTTTCACTCTACCTTTCAATCTTTCTATTTTTCTTTCCCTTAAGGGTTTCTCTTTTTAAAACTTGGCACACTATTGGGGTTCTTCCTTTTTTTTGTCTCTTTAAAAGTCCAGGGTTGGTATTGTTCATGTTCTTTCACATAAAAGGCATTATCAGTAACATCTACACAGGCACTGGAATAATAAACATTTTCATTTTTATTATAAGCAGATTTTTATTATTACATTTCTATATTAATCAGAGGATGCAATTGAGATCAAAAGCATGCACTTCATTTACTCTTACACAGATATAGATGAATCCACAACCCTGAACAGCTACACACAACTGTCTCCCTCCAGTTGGTCTCCTCTCCTGCCCAGAAACAGATCTGGCATGAAATATCACAGCAGACAAATAAAAAAATAAAATTTTAAATATTTAAATGTGAGTGGTTTTGTGTTTAGTTGTTTGTGGGGGTTTTTAATTACAAAGAATAAGATGCCACTTATCCCTGCTATGCACATTAAATGCACACTTCTTGCTCGGGTGCTTTAACCACAGTATGAAAGATGAGCAACACCAATAATACCTGCAATAACCACTTTAAAAAAGTAAGAGCTACTCAATTAGGCAGTTCTCCCTAAGAGAACACTGTGAATGCTGCAAAGCTATTGCAGTGACAGGGCCCAAAAGTGTAGCATCCTACTTGTACCATGCTCCCCACCTCTCCCACATGGTGCCTGTACCACACACACTCCATATATGTGCACCATGTGCACTGGCTGACCATGTTACACAACCACCTTGTGCCTTTATCCATCAAGGTCTAATAGGAAAACAGGAGGTAAAAATCAAGCACCAGTCCACCAGGCTAACAGATTTCCATATTGTCCCCTGAAAGATTTCCTGAGGTATACCTGGCAGCCCTGCCAGACTCACTGAGCTGAACCCATTCCCATAAGCCCAGCCTGCCCAAATTCTGGTGTGGGGCAGGACCTTTCTGCCTCCCCACCCTATCCTACAATGAGCCACGTGCTTCCCTCCATCCCTGGCTTTTGGCAGGAAGCCTGTATGCCTCTTTTCAGGTGCTCAGACTACTGGCTGCCAGAGGGCACATTCTTTTGGGGGACATAGGCAAAGCCAGGAGAAGGGAGTACTTTGGGCAGTAAGGCCTATCTGCAACAAGATGTGTTTGCAACCCAACAGAAGCCAGTTACCATTGCTGACAGAACATTTTCATTCTCCTCATAAAGGTTGTGCGCAAATGTAGACCCTTCTACCCTGCACCCAGAGAAAGACAACCTCATGCTCCCTGTAGGTCTCTCAAGACAGAGTAACATAGGGACTGTCACCCTCAGATCATTGTAGAAAACTCAGAAATTTGTCATTGGATAGTGGAACTTGGCTGCCAGGGGGTCTGAAAGACTCCATGATATCAGATGAAACTTTCCTGGCTGTACCTTTCACAGTAGACTCCTGAATTAAATGGGCCTTTTGCCTATAGCTTTTGCCTGCAGCCATCTCAGCCAAGGCAACTCAGCCAGCTAGTGTGGTTAGAACAACACACAAGCACCTAATGAGAAAGCCCCAAGGATAAACCAAGATATGTAAGCTCCCTGTATGCCTCAAGGCATGTTTGTTTTTGCAGAAGGAGCTCACAGTTTGTTGCAGGCACAGCCCCCTGCCAAAACCAGGCTTTGGTATGCTTCCAGGACAAACCCAGAAAGATTTCTTTTCTCAGACATGGAAGAGCAAAGTTAGTTTTCTGTCAGGGATGGTGCCTTTCCACATTGCCAGCTCTGGCAGCCTGCATGCCTCTCTAAGAGTCCTGGGAAGTGTTTTTCCCTCCCCCAGAGCAAGCAGGCTAGACTGCTGGGGCCATCTCTGCAGAAGAGTCACAGGACGTCCAGCCAACACCAAAAGCCTTGTTTGCTAATGCTGTTTTGCTGGGTATGCCTTTGACAGATTAACACCTCTTCTGTACTTGTAAATCAAGCAGTGCTGCGGACATGATTTTAGGCTGTCTAGGTGACAGAGTACCGTGAATGGTGTTTCCTTCTTGAGTGTCCGGTGTAGTCAGAAACTAGGTAGGAATAAGACAGCTATTGAGTGGGTCATCTTGTGCCATCTTGTCTCTCTGAAGTGTTACTGCTGCAGTTTCTGAAGAAACTGAGGGCAGAGCCACGCTTTGAGGACTCTGAGATGAAGGGTGGTTAGAGGTGAATGGGAGGAGATAGCAAAGACCATGAAGTATGGGGAACATTTTACTTTTCTCTTTCATGTGTTCATGTATCCACGTTGGACAGTTCTGGTGCCTACTGTGGTTCCTATGCCAAGCCACTTGCTACTGGCTGATGAAATAAGAGGGACCATGTCCAGGCAAATACAAGACCCGAGAATGTGATGTAGTTGTTGCATTAAAAGTGCCATCAGCCTAATGGCAGTGGCTACAACACACCAACTAGCTGGTGAGAGCATTAGGACATCACTTAGCTCTGCTTTATGAACCGGATAATTTTGTTTTCTGTTTTATCTGCTATTGCTTGTGACATTAATATATTCATAAAAAGCTTAACTCTTCCTGTTGCATTTGGTTGTACAGGACCATGACCTTGAATGCATTCCCAGGAGTGTTGTAATATAGGACATCAGCCGTTGGATTTGAGACTGGCAGGGGTATGTAGATGCCTGGGCCCTCCATTAATTTAGATGATGTAATGTTAAATATCTGCATGACTAAGTTATTTAGATTTGTGGGCTTTGCAAACGTGAGCAATGATGATCAATGATACTTGCACATTAAGGCTTGACATCGCTTGACATCACTGCAAAACAATTGCAAGAAAAAAATCAATTTGTTCTTGCAATATTAGGATCTTAGTACGTAACCTTGTGAGTGACTACAGGACACTTTGTGAGACATAATAAACTTCTTAAGTACTATTATGTTATCCTCCACAGGCCCAATCTGTGGCACATCTGTAGTATGCCTGAACTGAATCCATTAGAGATTTTTCAACAAAATCATTGCAGTGGAGTTTTAAAGAAGACCTGGGCTTTTTAAAGGCTTTTTGTTTGCATTTTAAGTAAGGAGTAACACTACTGCCTTGCAATTTAAAGCACTCCATCTATTTGAAACTGCATGGAAAACATAAGATAGAGATTTTGAAGTAGATAACATCTACATGAACACCAAGCCTGAGTTTCCAAATACAGGTCAGGTCAAACATCTTAGCAAATCTGTTGGCTTTGCTCCATCTGAACCCTGAGATAATCAAAAGATTTACAGCTGTCTCCTGAGGAAAGTAAAAGCTCTGCTCCTATTCAAACTGTTCAAGAAATGGGAACTGGTAGACCTGCTGTTCCTTTTCTCCAGCAGAGAATGGGACTTCTGTTACTTTGAAACATTTGGAAATTAGATTAAAAGATTTTGCAGATGATCCAGTCATTAGAGATGCAGGAATTTTTTAATTTGTGAGACTGGCCTAGTGACAGTGACTCCCTCAAGGCCCTGGTAGAAAGAAGCAGTTCCAGAAGCGTGGTCACACTGCAGGCACCTTTTGGAAACTGAAGGATACAAAAGCACTGAAGCATTGCCACGGGAGAAAGAGCCCAAATCTGCATCCACAGAGCGAACCCTGCACAGATTGCTTCTGCACTGTATGGCAAGAGGCATTGATTTCCTCACTCATGTGGAAATTATATAATATGCTGTGTCATTTTTTGCTTTAATATCACCCTGAAGACTCTCAAAAAGTTTTGTGCACTGCAGAAGGACTTTTTGTGTCCCACTAAGCGCTGGTATCAATTATGAGGGGTGAACAAGCCAGATGGAAGCTATTCTGCTTTACTGATTTTCAGCGATAAAGATAACACAAGCTTAGACTCTGTACATCAGCCTGTGTTTAGATGGCTCCAAAATTGTTTCAGCCTTTTATCCTGTTTCACTGGGTATAACAAAAAGTGAAAAATGAGATGATGTTAGGTGTCTACCTGTCTGACTACATCACTTACTTTTTAGACCCCAAAGTCAGGTCTAACGTCTTTTCTGAAATCATGAATCTTGCATTGGCAGCTGTGTGGATGCCAAGGACAGAGGCTGAAGTGTGTCTCCAGCACACTTGCTCCCCTAATTCACTTGTCATGGAGTCTGCAGGATTTACCTAGGAGCTGGAAGTTTGGATTTACACAAGTCAAGGAATGGGATGTCATTCCAGTCAAATCTTTGCTGACTGCTTTAATTAATACATTATTCTGCAGAACTGACTGTTGCTTTTTTCCATTTATTGCTCTTCCCCATATTAGCTAAGGAAGCCATGAGCCAGTCAGCTGCATCCCAAAGTATAAGGTATGTACTAAGCACAGAACCAATCCAGGCCTCACTGGGACACTTTCTGTAGCCCTAAATAGGATGCTTAAATCCAGAAGACAAACACCATTTTAGAACACCCTTTCATGCTCTCTGTTAAGCCTCACATATGCCTGAACTCTACAGCCTGTTGATGCTACAAATTGCATTAGCAGTACTTACCTCTCCTCAGTCAATGCATAACAAATAACTGCATGGGCACTCCTGACTGGGTATTGATTAGTATACAACCCACATCCGTTATTGGACCCAACCTTTCATTTTGGGTTCATACCAGCATCACATTTCCATACAGTTGATCCAACTTTCCTTTCTTTGTCCTCAGATACATTGTACATCTCAAAACCTTTTGTCATTTACTTTGAAGTTCTCTGTGAACTTTGAGTCAGTTTGATTTTTGGCATTCCTAATGTTACCCCACTGCATTCTGTACTACAGAGAAGTGGTTTACCAAGCTAAAATAGTCTCTGGTACTCACTTTTTTCCTATTCGTCCAGTAGGTTTCAGCTGCTTTTTTGTATAGCTGCAGGTTACAGACTTCTACATTCAAGTCCCTAAACTTCATTCAGCTGATTTCAGTGATAAGTCCTATGAAATCATCACCACTTCTGCTTTCAAAATCAGGGAATTTAGTTGCAAAACTACCTTAATTTTCCCCTTTATCTTAAATTGAATCATCTTGTGACCACTTAATTAAGTTTTATCCCAGAACCAGATCTTTCATAAAGCACACATTTCAAAACCAAGTTTAAAATTACATCAGTTCCTGGTGTTTAAATTACTATTTGGAGAAGAACTTGTAATCTCTGACAGTCAGAAGTAATATGTTCTACTGCTATTAAGGAAACAGGAAATGCACATTTTCAATATACATCTAGAAAGTTTGTGGGCACAAGGAGGAGCAAAGCAGCTCAGGTAGCTAACATTTTGAGATTACATCCGTCTATGTCTGCCATGGTTTTACATTACAGAATGAACACATAGTAAAGGACTTGTCAAGAAACAGGGAAAGCTGACACAAGAACAGGCGTAGGAAGAAAAAGAGGCTAATCAAGAACAGGCAGAAACTACAAAGGAATTTGTTGACAAACTATCATATTCTTTTTGTATTCCCAAAAGATACATTCCACCACAGTCATTCCAAATTAGCAGAGCTATTTACTTTTTAGATACGATTTCCAAGATTTGTGTTCCTCTGCAAAATTGAGTTAGGTGGTCTTTGCCAGCATTACCCAGGAAGGTAACCTTTTAAGGCACTTTGACCTACATGGTTTCTTGCTTAGCCACATTTTCATTTCTTATTTTTTGCAAAATTATCACATTAGTGATACGCATATTACATTAGAGATATGGACTGCCTTCATATTTTCTTTTTCTAGAGTGGTAGATGTCCTCTCGAATGAGTATTTCTGTGTAATTGTTTGTATGTGTAGTTAAATCCTTATCTTAGCTTTATCAAAGGAAAGTACTCAATGGCAAATTCCATGCTTTCATTTCAAGAAGATAAGAGATGCATTTTGTAAGCACAACTTTCAAAACATTACCTGTCTACCTATGTTCAAGAATCAGTGTTAGTATTCAACCACTTGAAGTGGATAAAAAATATGAAAGGGAAATAAACCAGGTGAGTAACTTCAGCTTTGTGGAAGGTGTTGACACCAAGGGCAGTTACACTGACATCGGTGTAGCTACAGCCAAACAAGGCTGTGCTCTTGTAGCTGAACTTTGGATGGAGATGTATGAAGTATGTGTGTCATGCAGCTTAATGCAGCTGAGTGTGGTGGGTAGACCAAGAATTTTACACTATAAAATGTACTTTGTTTCTCTTCTCTGAATGAGATGCTGTAAGTTTCCAGAGCCAAGAAAGCAGCAATGCAGCAGTTATTCTTTCATGATTGCCCTTCTCAGTAAACATACAACTCCTGCTTTCATCAAATCCCAAATAGACCAGTGGTTTAAGAAGATTATAAATCATGAACCAGGAGTCAGGCAGTGGTATGCACCTGTCAAGAAATGCATTTTCTTGTAAGAATTAGCATGATGAATTGTATTGCGTTGGAACAGTAGTGAATACCAGGAGAGAATGGTAAATCAAACAGTATTTTTTTGCAAAGACCATGTTTTCCACCACTAATGAAGTGTACATGCCACTGATAGGAAACAAGAGACTGTACTAACATCTGATTACAGTTGTCTAAACCAAAGTCCTCTGCTTTCTGAGGCCACTACAAATCTGTTGAAAGGCATAGGGAGAAACACTGGAACATTTGGAATACATGTGTAGAGGCTTTAGCATGGCATTGATTACAGAGCTGTAAAATACCTGCTGCTGAAGGGGTTTTCGCTTAGTCTCTTCCAAATCTCAGAGCCATTTGCTTTCTGGAATATGGCCAATTCCAAAAAGCAAATGATAGGTAACAAGTTTGGCAATGCCAAGTAGATACAGAGCTTGCAGAAAGATTGTAGTTGCCAGCCCAAATAAAGAAGTATTTTTTGTTCTATGTTCACTAAAGTCACGTGAATAGTCTTATTTTGCCTTACATCTACACACAGTCTCTTTTGGACACTCTTTTAGAGTCCTCCCTCAAAAATGAAAAAGCTTCCAGATTGAACATCTCTTGGCTGTGAGTAAAAATCTCAACATTAAAGAAAGACAAAAAATTTATGCATGCAAGAGGAAAGATGACTGAGATGAGGTGGTGTTGAGTCAGACATTATGAGTGTTTTCAAATCTCTTCCCCATGATTCTGCTCCATCAGACTCAAAACTGTAGCACCAATAAGCTCAGTCACCCAGGATGAAGATCAAGGTTTGGTTTAGGATGCCCAGGAATAATAAATGCAGGCAATAGGCTTTTTTAGAACATCACAGAGAAGTTGTTTTTCCCACTGTGTGTTAAGCATGGGCTTCAGCCCTAGACGTCGTCCCCCTGAGCATACCAATACACATCCGTATTCAGGAATGGATCAACACTAGTCAGTGACTGTGACTGATTGCAGAGCACTCTTTACCCTATCCTCATTTCCTCGCCTCCTTTTATTTTCCTTTCCTTCTCCACTCTGTTTCTTGCCCTGCCATCAGCTTGTGTTTCACAGGGAGGAGGTGGGGAGAAGAAGAGGAAAAGGAGAATGCCCTCAGCCCAGGACCAAGGACCAGACGGGAGAAGGCACAGCTTTTCTCACTCGCACTCTGCTCCTGAAACCCCTAAGAAGCCAGCTTCACCTGAGCGTACGAAGTGTTCATTCCTGTGAAAGCTCAGCCTCTGAACAACATATCAGTTCTCAGTTATTCCAGCAAAAAACTCCCAGTGACATTGTTTCCCATTCCTTTCCTTCCCAAGCCAAATGAAATAATAATAAAACCCACAAACCTTAGCACAATGTATAATCACATATAAATACTGTCATCCTGCTAATGAAATTCATTTAGTTTCCTAGCCTTCAGACCCCACACTGCTGTAAAAAACAGCAGTTTTCCTCAGACATCACCACTTCTGTCATGAAATTGCGGGAGAAATTGCATTGATTCTTGTCCCGAAGTATTCTGGAGCTTGGCTTTTCAGCCTGAGAACTTCCCAAGCAAATATGCAAATGTTGCTGGGACATGACCAAGTACAGATACAGAGGCACAGAAAACACTGTTTACAAGAAAACACTGATTATGCTCTGGATGTTGAAGGAGATAGTACCACAAAATTGAAGTAGGTCAGACACATATTTCCCATTATAAACTGTAACACCATGACAATGGTTTGCTTTTCAAACACCATGCAACACATTTGGATACTTACATGGAATTAAGCAGAGCACAGAATGGGAAAGGATGGTCAGTAAATCTAAAAAAGGTATCTCTGGCATGATTTCAGGGTTTAAAAACTTTAGGAGGGATATATTTAAATGTTCAAAGGTCACTGAACTACTTGGTTTCCAGCTGGGCTGGTTTTAGTCTGCCAAAACAGCTGTTCGTGTGCAAGAGCTATGTGGCTAGGATGAACTTGTTTCTTCATTTCCAAGGTCTATTGCTGTTATCAAGACTTCTTTTTCTGTATTTTAAAATTTTTGTTGCTATCTTTCATTTAGGACAGTAAATGAACAAGCCTTTCTTTGACATAGGTGGCATTATATTCTTTTAACAGAATAATTTCTAAATAAGCACATGGAGATTATTCAATTTTCAGTTCTGAAAAATAATGTTTTTAGAAAGTGCCCAGGAGTCACAACTGAATGTGAGTTTCCAATGTAGTATTGTGGAAAATAAAGTTAATCAGATTATTTTGGATAAAACATAGTTGGCACTGGAGCAGACAATACCAGATTATAACTTTCCATTTTGGTGCCCATAATTTGACAAGTACGTGGAAAATTTGGAAAAGATGCAGCAAAAAGCTCCAGAAACTATCTGGAATTTTGAGAAAATAATGCAGGAGTCTGAAAGAACTTAATGTGTTTAGTCTGTGAAAACCTAATTGAAGGTCAGTTGAAGGCCTGACTCCAGTATAACATTATTTCATAGAACACCCCAGATCAGAATGGACCTCAGAAGATCATCTTGTCCAATCTGGTTCATTTCCAGAGTAGCCAATATTAAAAAGCTGTTTAATAAAGCAAAAGAAGAGACACCAGATGATGAAGATGCATTTAAGATATTGAATAAACTGCCGTCAGAGCAAACTGTTCAGTAACATGTTCCTGTCTACATCTTCATCCATTCAGTCAGAAACTAATGCCTTCTCCAAAGACAGACTTCAGTCAGACTAGCCTCAGCAAAAAGGGGAAATTGTTGAATCTAATCCATGTTATGATATACAGAACGATTAAGATTTTAAAGGTTCTTTCTTGTCTCAAGGTGCTACAATATCAAGTGCCACTAATCCATATGAGAGGCAGCTACTGAGTGATGAGCAAGATGCAGCATTGCAATTCCCCTCCTTTTGAGTGGTTTCCCTGCTGTCACAGAGAGCTGGGAAGGGATCAGATCCCACTGAACAGCTTCCTGGCTACTCTCAGTACTGGCTTTTACAAGACAGATGAAGCTGGGCTCAGCCTGTGGAAGGCTGTGATCATGCTTTACCAGATCCTGATAATTTTAGAAGACATGAATGTGGTTAGCAGCTCTCAATCAGGTGTGTTGAGTCACATCACACACCCTGTGAGAGTGATGGGCTGCCTGGGTATGCTCTTAATTACCAGCAAGGCTTGACTTAAGAAAAGGGCTGTAGCTGCTGGGCCTAAGTCCAGTTGGGTGCTAAGCTAGGAACAAACTAGAAAACAAAAAGCTGTCCCACACCTTCAGCTCCTCATACGTGCTCTTCCCCTGGTCCATTTGGAGATATGAGACAGATCTATGTCATCACCTGCAAGCGTGATGGCATGGGCTCAGTGGCTGAGACATTCCAAAATGCTGTCAGAATCATATGGCTTTCTTCAGGTTTACAGATCTGGGCTCTGGGCAGTGTCATCTGCTCTCAGTCATCGCTCTGTCTAATGCATTGCTGCCTGAAAACTTGCTGCCTGAAGAGATGGAGGATTTTTTGAATGTTGCAGTAAGCTCCCCTCTGACGGGAAGACTGGAGACCAGCCAGACATGAAAGCTAATCTGTACGTGTGGTATGAAACACTAGGTTTGGGCTTTCTGGCAGGGTAAGCAGTACCCCTAAGATTCAAGAAGGAAAAGTAGAATATATAACCCCAAGAGTCCTTTCCTGCTCTAAAGGTAATGATCTGAGGCAAACACAGCTGGAGCAAGAATGGAGCTCTTTGGGCTGCTTCAAAAAGCAATTCAAAGGATTTGCAAGAACACATCCAAATCCTGGTATTAGACCTTGGTTACAATAATGTAGAGGTGTGTCTGACATGTCATAGATTTGGGATGTCAGTGGTGACAAGCAAATGTGTCAATGGCCTTATTGCAGATGATTTCTCAGTGACATGAAAGTTCTAACTCTACCAAATTCTATTTTCAGGATCATACAGGCAGGTCACGGGAATTGATGCCTGGATGTGCAGGCATAGTTCTGCGTTTTGTGAAGTAGACATGGCGGTATTAAGGGCTTATGTGAGCAGGAGAGGTTGTCATTGCTCTCAGGAACTTGCAATTGTGTTCAGTGTCTCAGTTATTTAAGACAAAAGTACATATGTGTGCTCATGAGCAGATAACGTTTCTACTGCCTTTAGCAAAAGAATGATTAGCAGCATAGCAAATTAGAGCTGCACACTGGCAGGTGTCCAACAACTCAGAGGAGGGGTTGCTTCCCTATCAGAGTGGGAGATGGGCTGGGTGGAGGCACCCTCTTGAAGGAGGTGGTCAGTTGAATTGGTACAGGAAGGCAGCAACGCATTTTTTCCTTCTTGCCTAAATCCTGCGAGAAGTGAGAGTGCCCTAGAGGGCTGGTACCACGGCAGGCTAGTAAAGGCAAAGAGATGTGTTTGCCACACTACTTGTGAGATAGATAAGCTAAAGATACATAGAGAGAATTTTGCAATCTGATTATGTGTTGCAATGTTAAAGATCTGTATTATCAGGTGGAATATTGTGAAGGAACAAGAGCGCTTTTCTGATCTGCAGAACACAGTACAGCTCATTCTCATTATTAATTTTCATAATGTTGTTACTGTACGTCAAAATATTTTATGCAATTTTGATTACTTTGGCGTAGTTGGACCTTATCTTCAAAATATACAGTGTTATTTCAGGTATATTCTTCATGTTAAGCTTTTTTCTGTGTTCCTACTCAATAACACAGCACAGTACTCAGGAAGGGTTATTTGCATGTACTTTTAGATGCACTTATTCAGAACTACTAACACAATCAGACAATGACAGACATATAATCAGATAATGACAGACACATCATCAGACACAGGCAGGATTTCTGATTCCTCAGTTCTACCATGGTTTCTGCTGTTAATGCCCAGATACTTGGGTTACAGCTTCTCATCCCACCCGCCATCCAGGAGCTGGGGGCACCTGGTCTGATGGGTCCCAGGCTGGGTCAAGAGTCCCCGTGGAGCTATTTCCATGGTCCATGCAGCTCCCTGGCTCGGGTGGGGTGGGTCTGGGCAGATGTTTCTGGAGGGTCACTGTAGGGTCCAGGGCAGGTCAGGCAATCCCTGAAGAGCTTGGGAGCATGGAGGGTGTTGGGGTTGCCCCCGAGGAGCTTCAGCAGTAGGTAGAGGGCTTCAGGTGCCACTGAGATGGTCAGTACCAGAGGCCAAGCCAGAGGTCACAGAGGGCTCGAGGCTGTGTTGGGAGTGGCACTGTGAGGAAGAGGGGGCTCCCCATAGTGGAGGCAGGACCTGCCCCACCACGCCAGCCAGGGAGCAGGGCAGGCAGGGGAGCAGCAGTCCATAGTGACAGCAACCAGGGTAAGACACAGCCCAATGGTAGCCACGAAGGCCCCTGGCAATGAGGCAAGTCCAAGGTCAAACTGGGAAGTCGATTTGGCAGGTCAGGGACAGGGGCCAGCACAGGATCAGCAGCCCATGGCTTCCAGCAAGGGCAAAGATCTGGAGCCCCACCTTAAAAGCAGATCCCACAGGGCAGAGGGGAACACTTGCCATGGCTTTCCTGCAGCATTATGAGGGGAGACTGGGAGCCTCCCCACATCTCCAGCATGAAAGGGCTGCCCTCGGCTGCACTGTTTGTAAGTTGACCCCAAGCCCTGGCAGTCAAGCCTCCAGGAGAGGAGGATGCACTCAGAGCCCTTACATGGCTTTTCTCGAGGTTGAGTTCACTTGGATGCCAGCCTCATACTTTTTTTCATCATTGTGATGTTTTTCTTCAGTGTTTGTGTGTGTCTGTAGCACTTACATCACAGTATTTCTGTTATTACCCTTTTTTACAGCTTCCTTCTTTCTTCATCCATGTTGCAATCATTTCACTTTGTATCCGTCGTCTTTCAAAGCATTGAACTCTTCAGTCCACAGTCCCCTGGTGCTTGTTCATGTCTAATACTACTGCTTCCAGTAATGCTATTGGTTTCCTGTAGCACAGGCTAGTTCCAATAGTGGCTGGGTTTGAATAGTTCAATCTATAAAAATACATTTTCATTGAGCCCATCACTTCATCAATGTCTATTCAGAAGTTCACAGCAAAGCACGATGACCATGGCTTTCAACACTGATCAGGCTTACGACTTGTTCTACCATTTAAACCTCACTGCATTTTAGTGTTTTGCATTTTATAGTTTTATGAAGATGCAACCATTTTGGCTTTCTGCCA